CACATGAAAGGAGTGATGCTCAAAGAAGAGCTCAACAACAGGAAAGGAAGAAGAGGAGGAAAATCTCCTGGCTGTATGACATCCAGCACCTCTTTTGTTCAATACATTTGCTGATCTAAGTATTGTCTATTTTCTCCTAAAAAAGCTGCTGGTGTATTGGCCTTCTTTTAGCAGCTGTGTGTCATTTTGGTTTCCTGCTCTGAATTATCACCATGTCCGTGGTATTAGTAATAACTAATAGCACTTCCATTAATACTAATTAATATGCCAATGCCACACTACAAAATTGTTAACTGAAATGTTATTTGGTCTTTTTACAGTTAAACTTGGATAAAATGGAATCTGTTGAATCTGTTTTGTCCACATCCTGATGGGTAGCCTGATGAAGGTTAGGATAAACCTCCAGATACTTTAAAAAAAAATTTGATGGATGATATATTGTACTCACATAAAATTCACATTTTACAGACTTGCTAAGCTACTGTTTGGGTGCTTTGATCTTCATATACTAAATGTGTATTCTTGTTGTCTCCTTCCCCCTTGACCAAACCCCCACACCTATCTTACCTTCCCTTTGTCTTTGTCTGTTATCATATTTGGTCTGATCACTACCTTTTGTCTTACTTCCCTCTGACTCCGATGTTAATCATGTAACATCTGGTGCCTGGCCAATTGGTCCGTGTATAAAAGTACCTTATTTCATCCGCTTACCGACTCAGACCTGCTCTGTGTACTTAAGTTCACCAGGATGCCCGCATGCTTTATTAAACTACCACAGCAAACCTGAACTAGACTTGAATGATTTTTCTTCATCAACTCTAAGCTACAGTGATTTGTCAAGTTCAATGAGCAGCTCTCACTTTATATAACCAGTCAAGGGAAGAAGAGGTTTGAGACTGTTGCTAGTCATTTGATCCGCAAAGCAGACAATGTGTTACATAAAAAGGGAGAATGACACAACAAAATGGCAAAAACCAAAGCACAGCTTTGAGTCAAAAGTTGGCAACAACAATAAGCAACAACATGTGTGTTTGCAGAGCACCCAGATCAATTTTGGCCCATATAATTTCATCCACAAACTGTAGGAAATGTTTCAAATGAGCAAGCTGCACCTCCTTTTCTTTATGTGTAAGTATTTTGATTTGATATAAATGCAATGAAAACACTATGAAATAAAATGTACTTCTTTCTGTGTCTGTCATTCACACTTTCCTAGTCTCCTACATTTCATCAGTTTTTTTCATGTGATGGTCGCTCAGTTGTTTGCTCCACTGTGTCTTCTTGTAATGACAGTGGTTGAGAACTTGGGCACGTCCCAGCCTCAAGTGAACCTCTAATGAAGCAATGAGCTATTTTTGCCTTTTCCCCTCAATTGCGCTAACCGCCTTTAGAGTCATTTGTTGTTTTCTGTTCTCTGTTTCTCCTCTTAATCCCTCATGTTCAATCCTGTTGGTAGAAAGAAATATGTGCTACATGGGCCAGTGGATTTGTCAGTTTGCATCGTTGTCCTCACAGTACAGTGTGTACTGGAGTCTTTGCTCATTTCATCAATGTTTCATCCATGCTTTATTTCTGTAGAATTCTGTAGTGCAGTGAATAAGACCAAATAGATTCCACCCTAAAATGATATTAAAACTCCTGATGTAATAGATCCGCCAGTGGAAAATAGATGCTGGCTCTCACATTCACATACAGATGACACTATTTCACATCAAATGAGTCTGGGAACATGACAAACATCTCACCAGGTGCAATGGGAGTCTGTGATGTTTCCACCACACTTGCTTTAGTGAAGGTTACTGTGTTTCTGCAGTGTGAGGCAGGTTGGAAAAGTCGGTGGGTGTCTACTGAGAGAGGTGAGAGATTCACAGTGGAGGTGTGATACTGCAGACTGCAGATACATCTTTTTCATGTGTTCATCTACAGACAGCCTATTACCATGTCTCCTTTTCTTACCCCGACCTCTATTTGTACTGTGCTGGTAACTCTGCATTAATCACCAGGTCCGTCCTACATGACCGCCTCTGCCTGCAACCAACCCTTTTGTGAAGTACTCTGAAAATGCAGATATTCCTACAGACAGTACAGCAGCCATTACATCTGTCTCAAATCTGTTGTTCCAGCTCAGGAGGGTGATAGATTGTAGAAGGATTACTTCTTCCTGAATGTACAAATTCACGCCACAAGAGAGGTGTGAGTCATGTTTCTGACTGTTATTTTAAAGTCATGGCGTAATTGAATAAGACTGTGGTTGTCACCGCAACATAAAACTATTGTCATGTATTTTTATAATGACATGCTGCCAACATGAGCCAGTTTCAGTTTTGATTTATGATAGAAACCATTTTAAGTCTTTAAATGTTTGTAACTTATTTACACCCATCAACCCTTTAAAGGGATGTCCGCTTTAAATAAAACAACACTTGGGATGAATATGAGAGTTCCAGGAATTCATTAGACTGTTGGAATACCAGAATGTTCTGAAGGTGGGAAAACACCATAGGTTGTATACAATTATAGCTGGATAATTTTATTCTCGGTTATTCTTTCTGAAAATGAACACAATAACCAAAGAAATTACAGTTACATCTATTGATATAAACTGTATGTTCTCACTCAAGTTGTAACAGTAATTAGTTATCTCTTATATCAGTTGTGGAATAAGTCATTTCAGTAGGATATTTTGTTCATCATTAAGAATCTGAGATGTCCTTTTCACAAAATACATGAACACATTCAAAGTAGTAATGTCACTTTTAGCTATAACATGTGTGTATAGTTTAAATTTCGTTTTTGAAATTGTTTTTACTTGAACTGAAAGCTGACTTCACTCTTCATGTGCTGAGTAAATATCAAAACAAGAGGCCACTGTAATTCAAAACGCATGGCAACATTTCAGAAACGGATGGGCTTAACAATGGTGCTTTTAAACACTGAACAAGCTGACATTTTGAAGCTTCACATCCACCGGCGGCTATTTCTCAGCCTAAATTTACCCTGCGTGTTGTACAAAGTTTGTACTCTGTGAGTTTAAGTGGCAAAGTGCAAATGGAAATTCCAGTAGAATGGCTCCCCTTTTCCTGTCTACGCCCCAGTGTTTCCTGCCTGCTGCATGACTAGGTGTGTTGACTTTGAGATTGGAGCGTCTGACTTTGGGGTACGTACTGGTCTGACTGTGGGAGAGGGTGTTGGTTTCTTTGGGTCATCCACCAACCAAACACTAATTCTCCACTTTGAGCTTCCTCTGGCTCCTATATAATCTTCCCCTCTTCAAACCGAGGGCACGTCGGGTAGAAGGATCTGTTTAAAATGTAGCCAATTAAAGGCATCAGACAACGTCTCAAGTCCTCTTTTGTCACAAATGCAGTGTATACTTACTCTTTGTGTTTGTGCAGCCCTGTCATAGACCAGTCCATTAGTGCTATTAGCTGCCATGTTAGGTAGCTCTGCCCTTTCTAATGAACGTCAGCAAACAGAAACAGGGGTTTAGATGTGGACTTCCTCACTTCCTGTGAAGGTTAATATTATGTGGTTTTTTTTCACTGCATCCACAGCACGGATGGAGCCCTGTGTCATTTCTGTGATGTGTCAGTGTGCCTGTAAACCACTCTGGGGACCGCGACATTACTTCACAAACTGAGCCTCACAGAGGCCTGCTTGACTGCACCTGAACAATACAGTAGTTCATTCATGGACTAATTCCTACCTTTCTCTCACTGTGATAAAAATCAAGTCTTTGTAAGCCTCTGCAAAGACGAGGAGAAGAGAAAAAATGGTATCCAGTTCTCAAAAGTGGTCTGTGCATTCATGTAATACCTGTGATTCATCCTTGTGTATCTTCACTGCAATGGAACTGAACAAGTGCATACATTTTACAATAAGGTACAGAAAATACTGGCAACTTTCTAAGAAGTGAGTAAGGAACAAATTATTTACTCTGAATAGTGGACTCTACTATTATAGTAAATAATAATGAGTATGTGCCAGTTATGTTCATGCGAAGTGTAGTCATTTGTGACTGCATGTAGTATACACAAGCATATAGCAAGCAAACAAGACAAATTGCAAACCTGTTATGTAAAGCAATCACAGCATTTTTAAACCCCATTCAGTAGTTCGAACCTTCTAAAATTCCAGTACCATTGTCAAAGTAAACAACTGCCCAGACAGCAACACAAACTGAAGCGTAACCCTTAATTGCAACATTCTCTCAGAAAATGAGACTACCGCTTACCAAAGGTGCTGTTGTGCAGATGGCTTTACTTTACTTACTATTCAAAGGAAGTTCGGTTTATGGTTTTGAGCCAAACTGGGCAATTGCTGTTGAATTTGTAAATAGTGATTAAATCACAAGCTGCCATATTTTAACGGATTTAAATGGTTCATTGTGAATCTGGTCAGCAAGGCCATAAGAAAGCAAGGCCTTAGAAAGTTACATATTAATGCTAATCAATAATAAAAAACAGATGGAGATACTAAGTTAACGAAAGATTAGTTAATGATTAGTTCACAAATATGTTTTTACCAGGTGATTCACAATTAGTTCCTAAATAAGCAGAGACAGCAGGATTTTCTCAAAAAATGTTTCACATTCAGAGCATTCATTCATATTCACATCCATCATATATCTGCCATATACAATACACTTATACTACATCCAAACCAGGTAACCTGTAAGAATATGATTGGAGATCATTCCTGCTCAACACTGAACCCAACTGGAAATGAACAAATGAACTGTTTGTAAGGAACTTACATGTAGACATAGCACAGACATGTAAAGTGCATGATCGCATATAGCTAAATCTAAGGCTCATCTCAGTTACACTGTTCAGTAACACTGAAGACATTCTGTGGCGTGAAAACAATTTTTTAAAATTACAATTGGCAAGACCTATCTTTGCTCTGAACAGAAGCAAATTATCTTATAATAGATCAGGGGAAAGTCATTTAGTGAATAAACAGACATAATGAAGAGAAACAGACACAACACAGTGGCATGAAGTGATTAAATAAGTTTATTTGATTTACAGACATGTACATTTTCTATCAACCCCTGCAAGGGAGCATCACAGTTCAGTTCTAGAATAATATCCTTTGATTTCTCTGACACTTTGCTTGTATTGACTTGCTCTAAAAATAAAAATAACCTCTGTTTTCTGCTCAACATCAGAAAAAGGTTTCTTTATACATGATTCTTGTATGACAAGAAATAGCACATTCTCAATACATCACTTCAGTGATTATTAACATAGAATTACTCAATACAACGGACTTAAACTCCTAAAGGATTGGTGCTAAATCAACTAAATTTGGCAAAGTGAAACTCAATTCATGACCCATCTGACCAGAGCCAACGTCCCTTCTGATGATGACAATATGTCAGCACTTACTGTGAGCATGAAGTGACAGACCCCTGTAACAGAGGCTGTGTGAAGTTGATGCTAGGCTATGGTTCAAATAAATCCCTGAACATTAAGTGTGCAAAATGGTTTGATCAGTTGTCCTTAAAACAAAGAAAAACATTTACAAGAGCTACAAAAATGAATGCAAAAGTACTGCACCCTAGACATGAGACCAAAACGTTTTCTTAAAACCATCACATTGCAGTTCCTTCTGTGTGTAATATATGTGAGATATCCAATTCATGATCACAGTAAACAGGATGAATCTTAGTGATGTAGAAAGGTATTGTGTTGTTTCATTGTGATACAAAAGAATGAATAAACAGGCATTTCTAAACCCAATGACATACAACAAAGTGTAGTATACGCAAACATTAAACTTCCCTTTATAGATTATTCTTCATTATGGTAACAAACAAATAAATACATTGCATCCAAGCCATCATTTACAATATATTAAAGTTACTGCGTGATTTAGCTATATATATCTCTATTGTAGTTATTTAAAAAAAAAACTATAATTTGGTAACATTAAAAACAAAAAGAAAACCAATAAAAGGAAGGTAAGAAGCTTAGTTCATTAAGAAGATGTAGGTGTGTAAACACGTCAGGTTGGACAGAATCACATTCAGAGAGCTCCACGCAGTTGGAGAGAAGCTAAAGCTAATGATCTGGCAACAAGGACACAGCCCACACAGCACCCCACACACAGCCAGTGAGTCACGCTCACACATCAATGCTACAAGAACCACCTCGACGTCTCCCTTTATTCCTCCGCTCAGGTCAATCCATCCTCCTCCTCCTTCTGTGTTTTCTTAAAGGTCTGCAAAAGTGCTTTTTTTCCCCTTTTATGCACTAGTGGCTTCAAGGTTTCACAAAAATTGTATCCGCCAGATAATATACTTAAAAAAAAACTATCCTTCAAGTTAGCTTCTAATTAAGCGTTTGCCTAAATCTTTGTATATACAAGCAACTTTTGCATTACATTTGCAAATACTGTAATTAATGTAAATAGCGATGAATCAAATCCAGGTTTTGTCTATTGTGTACTTCTCTTTTTATGTAAATCTCTATGTCATTCTCTGGCGCAAATTTTGAAGGGAAATCTGTTTATCAGCTCCTGCAGTGACATCTGAGGATGTGCTGGTCTGGTTTCGAAGGGGGATTCCTCGCTTATCCTTTATCAACGATAAGAGCTCGCAATCAGTCTAACCTGCGGGCCAAGAATTTCCTGTTCCTGTCTGGGATTTTGATTTCCCTCAGTATTAACCCGATGACTGTGACTCCAGCTCTCCTCAAAGGTCCTTTTCTTCTAATCATGAAATGGGATATCTACAATTGCGAGGGGGTCTCTTTTCACAATGCCTGTTATTGTAACCAGCGTGGACTGGACTGGAATCCATCATTAAGAAGTGACTCCGTCTCTGTGTGGGTGTTGTGTCCAGAAATTCAAAACCAACCATCAGAGAGCTTCCCCTCTAAAGAGAAAACAAGCTCACTGATAAGGCAGTGTGGATTAAAAGGTTGGTTTCCTCAAAAATGTTCGTATTGCTTCTTGTGTACACAAAAACGCAGGCGTTACTCCTTAAGAGTCAAAAGAGTCGCATTTCATTTACTTTTGGGAAAAGCATGTACATTATAAATTATAAAATACATAGTCCAGTGTCCACTTTAAATTGTCCGGATTGCATCATCATCCTTCTGAAACAATCATAGGCAGTAACCTCCAGTTTCAAATCAAACATCACACAGAAAAATAAAAATAAAAATCACAAGAAAGCTTGTGAAAAATAATGTGCAGAAATGTCTCACCTCTGTCATGTTCTCTGGCACGGTCTATGCTGATTTAAGTGCTAAAAGCTAAAAATAAAAACACATGTGGGGTGGTCAAAAGAAACAGCTGTTGATGTGAAAGCTCCAATTTTTAAGGCTGATTCACTGACCTTTAGACAGTAACACTTTTTGGCTCTTGGTTGATGGCTATGTTTACATGCACAGCAAAACTTTGATCGATCATGAGAATACTGCATCCATCATGTAAACACTGCATTTGCATGTGAAGTTCATGTTATTAATACTGTGAATAACGTGCAGAAAAATCTGATATTAGTCACATTATGGGAGGCTTGTATGAACAGATAAACACTTTGACAGTTATATTCCTGCAGCACATTTTAACGAGTTGCATCCCTTGCTCCACATAACTTGAACTGTCTGTTTACAGGCTCCGAGCGTTGAGAGCCAGGGCAGAATGAATTGTGAAAAATTTGTATAGGAAAAACAGAGACACCAATGGAGCTGCAGTTTAAAAATGACACTGCTTCCTTCTATTGTCTAGCAAATATAAACAGCTTAATTAAACTAATTTCATAGCCAAATGCTGAATTATAGTGTGCATGTAAACATAGTCAGTGATAATGTCATGAGGGTTGTTGGTGGTCAGTGCAAAGTCTGAAGGAATGTAATGATGCTATATATGGCACTTGGTGCAGATTGACAGCCGATGTAGGAGACAGACAGACAGACACGTAAGAGACACACCATTGGACAGACAGGCAGACAGACAGGGCAGGTTCATGGTCAGCATTCAGTAGTATGGCATCGGGAGTCGGAGGGGTCACGGGAGATTTTGCCACCCCATCTCCTCCCTGGAAGGTTCAGTGGATCCTGGCAGACAGAGGTGAGGAGGACACCAGCTGTTGGTCATCCGGCCTCAGTGTGTTGCTGTGCTCCTTCTTGCCGGCCTGTGATTTAGAGGCGTTTCAACGAGGGGCAAGACGCTCCCTCGTTCAAGTTCTGAGCAGCCTCGGAGAACGTGTAAAAAGGAAGAGCAGCAGGAGCCGAGAGGAAGAGGAGGATGATCGCACAAGTGATGGTGAAGAGAACATGGGGCGTTGTTTTAAAGAAGTGGATCTGCTGCCCTCGCTTTTTTTATCTCCATTTTGTCATCCTTATTGGGTTTGGTTGCTCCTTCAGATGGCTCCTCATTTGGTTGTCACCTAAGAGAGAGAGGGAGAGAGAGGGGAGAGGTTAGAGTCTCGCCTCACCACAGGACATTCTCATGTAATTAATGTCGAGGTCGAAAGCTCCTGGGCCATCTGTTAGGACCTTCCTGGTAACGCCTGCACACCACGACCAGCCTGTGACCTAAATATTTTCCTGCACACAGCATACCAACACACAACAGTTTGTTTAATGCAGACCACCGCCCAATCTGTAACAGCACGCTAAAAGCCACAGTAACACACAACCACTGTCTCTCCAGATATGCAGATTGGGGTTTCACATTAGATATTGATGCTATTGTGTTTCTGCCTCAGTGTGCATATCAAATATGTTTCTAAGACTGCACAAAAAGATTAACGAAGGAAAGGGTTTGCTGATGTAAAATAATATGAGTGAGACTTTAAGCAAGCTTTTGTAGAGACTTCATAAATTGGCTAGTCATAGTGTGCCGGTGGTAGAGGTATAAGTATTCTTTATGCACATAAAAGTAGAAATACAGGTCCTGCATTCAAACTCTTACTCAAGTATAAGTACAGATGTATTATCAGCTAAATTTACTTTTAAGTGTAAGTACTCATTATGCAGTTGACTGTCTTCTGTAAGTGTTATATAATAATTATTATTATATGTTAGATTATAAGATTCTCAGTAGTGATGCAAAAAACTGATCATTTTATAATTATGTGTTTTGAATGTAAAATAATAAATACAGAGCACCCTTGGGTGTAAAAAGTACAATATTTCTCACTGAATTATAATGGAGAAGTATATAAATAAGAAAAACGACTTTTATATATTGTTATTTGTTCATGACTCAAATCTTTTCCAACTGCTAAAATACACATAAACAAAACTCATATGTGGGGAAAATGTGTCACCAGAGGGGAAAACTACACTCCAGTTGGAGATTAGACCATTAAGCGCTCATGGTGCCACGCTTGTGATCTCTTCAGATTGGATGAGAGCAATGGCGGTATGTCCCACTGTTTGTTGTGGTCTGTCATTACGGTGCCCTGGATGCTCCAGTACACAAGCTACTATTGCTGCCACAATAGGATTACTGCAGGGAGCTCATGTCTCACACTCTCTAACACACCTACACACATACACACACACACACACACACACACCCCCATAGACCCACAAACACATCCATACATTTACATATACATTCACACTTACGCATACATGCACAAGCAGACACACTGATGAGTTCTGGAAAAACAACAACCATTCATCACACAAACAAGGGTAATAGCTTAAACAGGAGGATTACAGGATTCTCAAAAACAATGAGTTTTGGTTCTGTAGCTACAGATCCAATCCCTTCTGGGATGAACCATTTTCCTCAGTTATTAGTGTCAGTTGTTGCTGTAAACTCTGTGAATTGTTTATGAGCCAAACTAGGAATTAAAATGCTCAAATGCCAGCGTGACATAGAGATAATTAGAGTTGTGAATGCTTTGATATGTGCAAGAATCGCCTGCCTCCTCACAGCTTCACTATTACTGTGCTGGAGACTGTTGGCTTCTCAAGCAAAGGGGAGGTCTGATTGGTCTGGCAAGTGAATAAACTCTAATCAAACCAACTTGTAGTGGTTTTTGGCTGGGAGGATGCAAATCATGACTGAACACGAGTGGGCTGACATTGCTATAGATCTGACTGGCCTCTAATTCAAGGGTGGGTGGAGAAAGCAGTGAATTGTCCAATACACAAGACTAAAGACACCTCCCCTGCAAAGATTTCACAGCCTTTTTGTAAGCGATACAGGTCAGAGCCTAGCTGTACACTGTGTGTGTGTCTATATATGTGTGTGTGGTCTGTGGTCACTTCCCTACCCAACACCATGGACCCACTCAGCACTGCTGACTGAGGATTCAGAGCTTTTGTTGAGTGATAAGAGTGCGAAGTAGGAAAGTATGTGCCTCCAGCCTGCAGCTGTATAAACACTTTTAACAGTTTAAGTTTGGACAGCAGCAACGACATTAGAGTTTTGCCTCGAGATGAGAATTTCCTCCCAGAGTAATATGGGATTGTGGTTACAGAATAAATGGGTGTGAAGCTCCGCTGTCAGAGCTCACGCTGATCTTCTGACAGCCCCGAGCTCGGGGATGTCCTCTGGTTATCATGCAGTGTGGGGTGAATCTGGTCAGCAGAGGCCGGTTCCTCCTGCAGAGGAAGTTAATTGGATCTCAGTGTATCTGATCTCCGTCTGGGATCACATCACCGGCGATTAATAGCTTGCAATGTATAACAGCTTAGGCGATTACTGCCTCGCTTCATCCTCATTTATTCAGCGGTCGTCTTTTCTCTCCTCCTCTAAATTCCTCTCCTTCACTTCCACTCCTTGTCAGAGCCAAACACTTTTTTCTGTAATCTAAATATTCCCGGGCACCCGGTTAGCTCAGTCGGTAGAGCTGGCGACCCATATACTGCAGTGGCCTGGGTTCGAATCCGACCTGCAGCCCTTTGCTGCGTGTCATCCCCTCTCTCTACCCACCTTTCCTGTCTGTCTTCAGCTGTCTCTGTCAAATAAAGGCATAAAGGCCAAACCCCCCCCCCAAAAAAAAAAAATATTCCCCCTGATCTACCACAGCAGTGCACAATAGCACCATATATCTTTTTTCAAACTCCCTATGGTTCAGCATGTTGCGCGACTGGGAACAGAGGTCAGAGTGAGTATGAAGGGTGAACAGAGAGCGGCTGAACTGTGAACTGCATTGATCTGTGAGTCAGACCCAAGGGAGGCAATATTGCCTGTCACTGATTGGATTATCCTTCCAAACAAATGTTGAAAATCAATCACAGAATCACAGAGCGCCTCAGTGGTTCACTTAAAACAGAAATGATCAGTTCACAGGCTTATTCAACTCTGACCTCATGTAGGTATAATCACTGTTCTCTATAATTAGCCCCTTTTGACAGCAGGAACAAAATGCTTTAGCTGCTGTGTGACAGAGAACTGATGAAACCCTCAGGCTGAAAGCATAAACTGCCACTGAAACCTGATATGTGCGGCAGCAATGTGGGAGCCTTTCATGTCACCTGTCATTAGCTGTGCATGCTAATGTCACCCTGCCAATAGTAATGACACTGCAGTGCTTACAGTAAAAGACCATACTGGTAGTTTTGCATATTATAGCCCATTAGCTATAATAGGCAATAATATTAAACTGTGTGTATTTGATATTTCTGCCGACTATTTTCCAAAGCATACCATGACTTTTCAGATTGATTTCCTGCCTTCAAGATAGCCATTGCCCCCCGTTCATCAGTGCACAATTCAAATCAAATTGCAGAGTTTTCAAAGTTACTAGTGATTGATAATCCATCATTCTTTTACTCCAAGTTAGACAAGTTATGTGGGGATACAAGTGTTTGGAACATTCAAGCACACTTGTTGCAGTTAAGTGTTATCTAATAACAATACAAGAAACAACAAAATCAAAGCATCTATGTTTGTTCATTGTTTGACCTCTGAGACAATGTCTCCCAAATGATCAACCTTATTCTATACTAACAGTACAGTAGTTTTAGTAGAGTAGTAGTTCTATATTTTTTTCCTAAAATGTGTCTGTCACATGAAGGTGGGGCTACAGCTGCATTTTATTGTCCAATTTCATATTGTAATACAATACAGCCTTGAACAAGGAGACAATAAAGCGGGACCTTGAACCTCAAATGCAATGCTTTTCATCAGCCGATGAAATGTCAGATTCCAAAGTGCCTTTGAATGTACAAAAGAGGGACATTTTTACACTGGTTGTCACTGACTTATGATAGATAGATAGTCCACCAGGATGCCACTGAAAGTTATCTGTTATTCTAAACTAAAATGAATGGAGACTAAAGATTATCTGGAAGGTAAAAATAAACCACAAAATGTAAATGAGGGCTTGAGAAAATAGTCAGCAATTGTATAAAGTGTTTTTGTGGTTAGCAGGATCATCCTGTCTTCCGCCTGCTGGAATTTGTACCTTCAAACAGTTTTTCCACTAAGTCGACTGTTCAAATACTGCAGGGAGTTGCAACTGGCAGAATCACACTGCCACCTGAACTGAACTCTACTCGTTCTGTAAGAAATCCTACATACCACGATTTCCTGGTTTTCACAAGCTGGAAAACTCAAATTAGAGCACTGATTACAGCACACCTTTGTTGACATATTTCACTCCTTGCAAACTGATTTGCGTTTTTTTTAGGAAAGCCACTGCAAAATATAAAAGGAAAGGATTTGTTTTTCATACAGTCATCCCTCTTTTTATGACATACTCCATTTCACGCTAAAGACACCCACAGAGCATTATTGGGAGGGGTGATAATAAATAAAGCCCTATATACATACATTCACAAGTATTCTGACAAATGTTTAGAAGACAAATAAACCCAGACAGGGTCACAAAGAAATGATTAAGAAGGGGTAAAACCTTGACCTTTTGACTGAACATGATAACCTTTACAAATAAGTCACAACAGATTCCTTGTCCTTCTAGTCAGTGAGTCAGAGTTTAATCTTGTTTTTCTTTACCGGCAACTACAGTAGCTCCCCATTGTCTACACTGCAGAGTTGGCTGGTGGGCTGCCAATTATTGTGTTGTTTCTTTGCTCAGTTAATAATTACAGAGGTTTTGCACCATGTGTATGAGTCTGATAAAGGCAGGAAGGCAGCTTAGGTCTTGATAAGATGCCAGATAGTTGGTCAAATAACCACCACTTCAAGAATGCCAGGACAATCCCTGAGCACAATGGGACGGAAAATGGATTATAGATCAGTCATTTGTGCATCATCTTGTGTATCACCGTCATAAATCTTTAGATAGCCTCAGGTCAAAGTCCTGAAAAATATTGTTGTCAGATCTCTGTGCCTCCGAATGAAAGGAGCTCTTCATGATGCCCGTCAGATAATGAGAAGAGAGCCCTATAAATGTTAATGTTCCAAGACTGTCTCTTTGTTATCAACCACTTAAACTGATCGTAGAACTGCTGATGTGAAAAGCACTTAAGTGTAAAAGCATCTTTAGGAGAAAAGGCAATTTACCTGGTCATACCTTGACTGAGGAGGGAGGTCGCGTCAGCTGGCTCAACCTGAGGAGAGAGGAATAGTTTCAAAAGTTAAGGATGTGCAAAAACTTTCAGTCCACATTCAACATTTACTGCTTTCTTTTTCTGAATCATCTCTCTCTTTCCACCAATCCCCCCCCCAATTTCACTCACTAACTGTCTTCCTAGCTGTCTTTCAGTCATCACTATCTGCTTTTCTAATCCTCCAGACTGCAGTGCTCAGCCTGCCTCACTGAATCTGCACTGTCAATGCACACTGGCATGGCAGATGAGACGGTTCTGCTCTCACACATCACTAAGTGTAAAGCTTAACTGTGTGAATGTGTGTGTTGGGGGGTGGGGGGGTGGCAGGGGGGCACGCACTGAACCTGATCTATAAATGGCAACCCTGCAGCCAAAAAAAGCTAACAACCTAGAAATAATAAAGCACTCTTTAAGGCTGGAAATAGAAAGGCGCGCTCCAGTGAGTAACTTGTTCGGTTCCGCGCCTTTTATAAATAGCGCTGAGTATCTGAGGACACACTCAAAGGAGGGAAAAAACAGCAGCAAAGCGCTCTGTAAAGTCAGGGAATTTATAAATCAAGGGCTTTATAGCGTGAATGGAATCTATAAATATCGCAGTCATGAAACAACACTGGTTGTACAAAGTTGTCAATGTTGTCCCAGAGGTGCTGTTTGCAGCTTACATAAGAACAGCTGCTTTTTAAGTTTGAAGTTTTTCTACATTGAGATGTTTCGTGTAAATCTGTACACTTCTGTAGTATACTATGTGAGGTATGCAATGGTATGTTTGCTGTATATATATACCGGCATGTAATCTGACAAGCAGGTGTATGATTAACCCATCTATGTAAGCAAAAGTGGAAGTGAAAGAGGACAAGTTGAAGTTGAACTTTGTAATAAGGTAGATTAATAATTTAATTTAAGTGCACACTTTATTTTTTATTACCATTTAATAATGACTCAACATTTGACAGTGATAAACTCTGACTCTTTATACTCCCATAATGGCTTCATTAAAGACTCAATAGCCAATAGATTTTTTACAACCTGGCAACACAAATGTTGTTCTTTTTCATGGCTTATAACTGATGTATAAAACATTAGTGAATTATTAATTAATGATTATGAAGAGGCTAGTTCTGTAGTTAACTTACAAACCCTTTATAAAGGGTGACAAAACTGTATTAGCTTTGAAAAGTAGCAATATAAAATAATATTACGTCTATGTTAAGGTTCATGTTTGTGGAAAATCATGCAGGAACAACCTTCCAATGCCTCCAAGTGTCTCTGTTTCATATCTGAGACTTGTTTCACTCCATCTGTTGCTATATTAGCTTTGCCCTACAGCGTGTAGTGTAAAAGTCGAGGGGTTGTGGTTAGATAAAGTTTGAGTGAACATGTGCCATTTGCCCTTAGTGTGCAATAATGTGGTCAAATAGCTTAAACCACAGCTATTGGTCTGACGGCAAGAGTGTGACTTTTCTTTTAGTCATTGTTCCACATTTCTTCCCTTTTTGTCCCTGGACCAGGCCCAAAAGGAAGCCACAGCACGGCTTAGTGGTTCCTTTGCAAAGACCCCTTTAAAACTGTACAATAACATTACACAGAGGAAATATTAACGGCTTGGATGTTTGAGCTTGACCCCAGGAGTAAATCCACTGAAATGTGAAGCTGACAGTTTCCACATTTGTTTTGCAAATTTTAAGTTGTCCTCTATTTGATTGCACATAGGCCTATACTAGTTAAGTTGTACTAAAATCTCTCACATCTCTCTTTATGGCGTGGGAACAACCAGCTACCAACTCCACAGGGTGAAGACAAGGCATGTGCAGACAAACGTCAGACATCAGACTGCCATCCTGTCTAAAAATGTCCCTCATCTTCAACAGGAAGGAAGTCATTTCTGAGAGCGCTGGCACCAGGGGAGTAAGTCAATGTGATAAAAAGTCGGAAAAAATAGTTAAAAAGAAACAAGAAGTCACGTCTCAAAGAGGATGAGTGTGTTTGTTTTAGCCTTTTAAGGCCATGACCGACTACCGTGCCCTGTGGGTGCACATCGTTGGTGTTTGAAAGAGGAAAATATGAATGCAGGAATAAGAGGGGCGGTAGCTGGTAAAAGTCTAAGTAAGCACACTTTAACAAATTGATGGCTAGAACAGCTTGTGTCAGCTCCGGAGCACTTTTGGCTGACTGGGACATTCTATTGGCTCGAGAGCCTTTCTGAGTCTTGCAGGGTTGGCACCATTGTTGGCATCGCTGGGCAGCTTGTCCCTGACACATGTCAAACCCCAGCATCAGGGTTAAAGAGTATAGCATTGTCCAGATAAAGTCCTTAACCCTCTTTGTGTTTATATGGCGCTGGTGTTATTGCCACTTCTTCAGTGCCTTGCACTGAGGTGGTGTGTTTGGGTTTTTGGAGTCAGTGGAGGACATCTCAAGCAAGTATTAAATATTTAAAGAATGAATGACTAAATAATAAATGAAATAATGATGAGTTATTCAAACAATGTCTGAGTCACTTACTGTTTCTCAGCCTTCTCCCTGTCATCCAGGAAAAACAGTGCAGTGGCCAGGAAAAACATGCCCCCCAGGACGATGATAAAGGGACAGAGCATGAGGGCATAGCCCAGACTGAGGAACCGCCACAGCGCTGATGTAGCGTAGCTCTGCTGAAGGGCGTCGGAGATCTGCACCCGGGCGTAGCAGCACAAACACACAATGACACGCACACACCCACATGCCCAACCACCACACATACGCACACAGACAAAGACAAAAGAGAAGAAAAATTTTATTCAAACTAATCATCCAGCAAAAGTTCTTAAAATATCCTGTCACGCTCTGACACACTCACACTGAAAGCTTTCTGCATGTTTCATCATAGCAACAGATGAAACAGACACACAGCATGATGTAATACCTCCTGTTTTTGTTTTAAGCGAGGCAGGATTTCACAGCTAATAGCTCATATAGCTGTTGAAGGCTTGAGCAACACTCGTGTTCAGTCTGTCATGTGTGACGCTGAGGAAAACAACAGCTGGAGAACAGTGGGTGTGAAGTGACCATTTCTGCCTCCTAGTGTCACTCATAAGGCAGCTCTCAAACACAAATACATCACCGTACTGACAATCGTGACGAAGAGGAGACTGCTGATGGTCGCTTTTAGTAGATTGTGTGGATGTATGCGCAGCAGGAAAATAAAGGGGGCTTCTCGTCTTCATGTGAGTGAGAGTCTGAGTGGCCATAGGTCACCCTGGCTGAAGCACATTGATTAAATGTTAGCGTCAGCAGAATGAGATTCTCTACAGGGAGAGCTGGAGAACTGCTGACAGGAGGATGTCTGAGGGAGCGTGCAGTATGTGCATTTGCAAGGTGCGTTAGTACACACGTGCATATGAGGAGTGAAGATGGTGGAAGAAAATTAATAAAATACACGTGCATGACAAAAGCTGATGTATGTCCAGCAGCTGTGTGTGTGGTCAGTGCACAGCTATTTTGTCAGGTATAGTAAATTGCCTGCAACTTGCAGAGTGCAGCTTAGCTAAAAATACATAGCAAACTGCTGCATGTCTAATTATCAAGCTAGAAAGAATTTCTTGGGAGATCGCAGAGAGATTGTTCCCAGCGTTCCCTTGCCACCCACTCTGCCTGTGGCCATGTCCTACTCATACAGTATAGGAGTCCATTATGTGTTTCTCTGGGGATTCTAATGTGACATCTGCCTGGTCTATGTGCTGATGGAGTGGGATCTTGGCTGGAGCTCGGGAGAATCTCAGATGTACTAAAGCATTTTTTTTATCAAGAAGTGGCGGTTGTGTGGCACCAATATCTGCAGGCATTCCCACAAAAGGCAACTATGGCGCACTGGGAATCCCACATTGATTTGTAGAGATGAGTACATCATCTGCAGGTCTGTTTTGCACACATGTCAAAACCCAATTGTGCACCAAAAGGACTGACTCACTCGCTCACTTTCTCCTGTGGTTGCTTAGCAATAACCAGCAGTCTGTTTTTCTTGAGATTCTCTACTTTGCTCATTCACAGGATTTGTGCCAGTCTGCATGGGTGAGTGTATATCTGCCCGCGCTCTGTGTGTGCGTCACGACGAGTCCCTCACACTCGCATGCTAAACCTCAGTTCAGGAACTGAGGCAGTGAGTGGTGACGCACTTGGAGCATTCTGGGCCTCGCTGGTCGGGGGTTTGTGGAGGAGTGAGAAACCCCCGGACATTCAGTATGTCACTCAGAGGAGAGTCGTGACCCGGAGGCAGGATGGAGAACCTGGGTGACTGTCTGGGTAACTTTGGCTGGCAGTGTGTGTGTGTGTGTGTGCTGGGCCGCATTATTCTGACGTGTGGAGTTTGTTGGAACTTTACCAGAGCAGTTGTTTTGAAAAGCCTAGTTAAAACTAAAGGTATTCATTATCAATTAATCCCAAAACCCAAAGATATCTAATTAACAATCATAGGAAACCAGCAAATGTTTCTCATTTTTGTTTGATTAAATGCTTAATCAGTTATCAAATGCTATCAGCTGTTTTTCTGTGGATGGAATTAATGCTTTAATCGACTTATCTTTTCAGGACTGGTTGATCCTGACTGAGTCACACAATACTTCAAAGTACTGTATCTCCAAATGTGTCAGTAGGAGGTTTGTATAATATAAGATGACACTGGTTTTTATTTGATCTGCAGAAACAATACAGCGGCAGTCTTTGAGCCGGATTCTGTTTCCCAGAATTAAGCCAGTTTTGTTTGGTCTTTTGAGGAGCTTGTCAGTACTTGGAGATGACTTACTGCTCCTTTTATCTGGCATTGACAAGAGTTTAACATTTCCATTTAAGGAACAGAAAAAAAACAAGACACTTTCAATGCAACTCGACAGACAGCTGCGTCTGTTGCCAGCCCGTCAGGCCCCGACAGAGGATCTTGAGGATCAGTTTGATTCACTAATCAAAGACTTCCACTGCCTTTGTTAACATGACCTAGGCTGTGAGCCAGAGGCACGACAATGAAATGTAATGTAAACACATAACACTGGTGCTATTCTTTCCCAGCACCAAAGTACATTCTAAATACAGATGTTAAAAGTTAAACATTAGGATATGAAGTGTAGATTGTGACATGCAGCACAGTTGCAATGTTACTATAGCATGTTTTGTCCTTGTGAAAGAGCCCATTATTCCTTGCTTCCTGTATCAAATGAGGCATACAGAATATGTACATCCAAGGAGTTACTATTTAACTTCAGAAATGCTCTTTCTCTATTTGGAATGAAAAGAATGCAGCTTGACAGTCTGAGGTGGATCCTGTTTCACACTCCATTGAACAGCGAGCAGTACTTGTATTCTGGCCTCCTGGATGCTATTATTTGGGTGTATGCGTGCAGTTTGGGTGATGGGGGGTTGGGTGAGTGACTGTGACCTTGAGAGGCCCAGTAAGAACCACTCTCTCAGCTCCTCACCAATCAAATACAGTAACACTGGCCCCTCCTGGGAACCATGAGATTTACTAGAAAACGCCAGTGACAGCCTGGAGAGCAGTGGTGCAATCACAACTCTGTTCACCAGCTCTCCTGAGACGTGTGCTAAAAGCTCCTCTTGTGCCTCACTTTGCACTGGCCCACTTAAAGCAAGAGCTGAACTGGTATCTGAATACACCATGCGTATGAATGGGACACTCACAGATTCGCTGAAGCGATATGTTCCAGCTGGGAATTACAACCTAGGGTAAATCTTAAATATATTGGCCCTCACACCCTGACCACCACACATAACTGCCGTTGGGAGAGTCTTACCAGGCCTATCAGGTATGGACTTCCTGCATCACCCAGGAGATGAGAGGTGAAGCTCTGAAAGGCGACTGCCGTTGCTCTCCGCGTGGGGATAACGACAAACTGTCCAGAGATAGAGACAGAAACAGGGGGTGAAAAATACATGAGATTGTGTGAGGTAATGAAGAGACAGAGGTAGAAAGATTCACTCAGCCAGCTAAAAACAACTCTTGCAGTCTTCAATTATGTACGCAGAGCCCACCTCATTGGGTCAGAACACCCCTGGCGGACCTGTCAGTCACTGTAAAAATGTCAGCAATGGCCTTTGTCTGTCTCTACATACTCACCACAGTCTCCATTCTTATTACAAATTAAGGAGCTGGTCGGTACACTCACCTTACTGAAAGTCTCATTTCAGTTCATTCAACCTCCTCTTTTTTCACGTTTAGATACCAAAACATACATCAGGAAAGGGCTCACCTCTATTTGTTTCCATGAGCAAAGTATAAATCAGTGCTGACAGTAATGATCAGCCCCACTCACACATTTCACAACTCAAAACTCTGTCTAATTGGATGACTGCTATTCTGTATTGTTTGTTGCATTTCCAGTGACCCAATGGATAAGTATAGGTTCTTAGCACTTACCATTAAAATGTCTGCTGTTATGGCCCAGTTCAGGAAAAGTAGCGTCTCTCCTATAAAGATGCAAACCTAAATAAAAAAAGAAAATAAATAGTCTAACTAAGCCAATTTCCACTGCACACAAAGACTGGTAACAAGACATGAAGCCAAAAGAGGAGGATGCAGATATTTCTACTGTGTGTGGGAATCCACTGCTGAATGAAAGTGCTTTGGTTGCTGTGGTTTAAAAACATGTTATTATGCTGTGGCCCAATTATATGCGGAGGTGCAGGCCTTCATTTTGGTCCCATTGAGCCGGGTATTTAGCTTACGAGCCGAAAAACAGCACAGGATGATAAGGTTTGTTTATTCTCGTCACAGCCGTATATTCAATGCGGAGACATTTTAACACTTCCTAAGTTAAGATCCAGCTGCAAGATTTTAATTTATATCCTACTTCTGGATGGGTGGAACAGAAAATGTAAACCTTAAATAACACAGTGGAATTAACATACAGCGCACTAAAAGCACATGAAGGCTACTGTATGTACACGGGCTGGTAGCAGCTGGTGTTCCTATTTGGCCACTTTCTTAAAAACAGACCCAGAGGGATTTAGTTCCAGCAGAATCTTGTGTGTCTGTATTGACTGGTTTCGTCTGGCACGGTTTAACACAGCCAGTTTGACGTGTGTTTCCTGCTGGGGAATAACCCTTCTGCCAGTGTGCCAGACCTACAGTACAGTACAGAGAGCTACAGAAGGAGTCTGACTGTGGAGATGTAGACAAGTCTGCTCTGAGAACTGTGAACCAGACACCATGACCGACATGTTTCCTCCTAGAAAACAGAAGCCCGCCTTTACTCAGATTAGCTGCCTGTTGACGAGACAACAGCTGCGAGGGGTCACTCGGCCTCGACAGAGCTGCACCGACCGTTACAGCCACGTCACGCCTTATAATGTGACACATCTGTCATCGCTTCGCCGTGAAACCTGAGTTGATCACTTACAAATCCTGCTGTACTGTACAATGATTTAACTTTGTACCGTAGTGAGAAGAAGTGAAGTCACACGTTTGAAGTTGAATGGATTAAACTATTCCTGTTGTATGTTTTTGTACAACCAAATACGATAAATCTGGTGTCATAAAAAGCCCTTTAGTTTCACGCAACATCTAAAATTGAGTTGGACAAATCTGTAATCATGTAATTTATATGGATAGTGCTGCCCCTCAGGTCTAATTGGCTGAGTCATGCCTCTGTCAAACACCTGATGAATGTGCACCTTTGAACTAACGGAAGTTCATATCCATTTTAATTCATTAAATCAAAATCACTTATATCACTTATACAAGTAATTATTTGCCATTTAGGACCTACTTTCAGCATCGGTCGGAGAACTTCAGTATATGGAGCGTGGATAATTTAATTAATAATGTTAATATTTGTTTGGTGTATGCATATTTTTCTTTCTTTTTTGATTGAAATGGTATGTTATTGCAGTTTCATAAAAGCAGTCACTGTCCAGTCCTGTGGTTTAACATACTGCACATGCATTCTTAAAATCACCTCATATACTGTAAAAAAAAAAACCTGCCCTGATCCAGCAGTAAATAAAGTCAGAGGCCAAGGTCAGCCACGGTCACATATTTAGGATATGGAAGCTTGTTTTTTTTGTTCCTTTACACGCATGGGGAAATATTTTCCATTTTTTCCAGGCTTCCAGTATCATTACCACCCAACTTGTTGATAGTCAGTTCCTATTCCTTTGCCTCTGATAAGAGTGAGAAATTTGTGCTTGGTGAGTCCAACAGTCCACAGTGCATTGTTTCAGGGCTGTGGTTAAGTTGCACCCTTTCCTGCTTCACAAGGCAGTCAGACATACCAGCTCTCTGCACACATGCCTGAGACTCTTGACTTTTGGCCAGATGAGGTTTGAGCCTTAACTACCTGCAGCAGCTCCTGAGGCCATCTCAATCTAACCTGCAATTAAAACTATTCATTATGAGGAGCAACACCCACTCACTGCCTCTGGGCCTGAAGGAATTGGCATCAGGCAAGGTGTCCTCTGCTTTATTCCTGATTCAAACATTAACCCCGCCTGATGAGCTTTGAGCCTTCTCTTGTTAGATAGGTTACCAGACTTTCACTTTTAATTATCAGCCCTTAAGGCTAATCCATAATTAACATACTAATTCCACTCTTTGTGGGACATTTTTCACTGGGGACCTGTTGATTCTTGGAAGCAGGAAAGCAAAAATGGTCCTAATGACAACTCCTTCCACTTTTCGATTAAACTTCCCCTGCTGGAGACACAATACACACAAAAGAGTTACAGGAAATGACTCTTACATAAGCTCCTACGATGCTCTTCTTGGCCACCACGAAGATGAGGCAGATGAAGATGGCCGAGCCCAGCATACTGACGGCGCACACGAGCGGGTCAGCTCGCTCCGTCTTCTGGCGGCAGAAGCGTGTGGTGGCCGCCCCGATGACCACGCCTAACAGACCCGTCACACAAGTGATCGCCCCGAAGATAAGGCTAGACAGGAGAGCAGACACCAGAGGAAATAATTGTTATTTCAAATCCAATATATGTCATGCATGTTTTTAGTCCATGCAACCACACAGATGAAGCTTCAGCTGGGATATATATAAAAAAAGCATATTTATTATAAATGGCGCAACATTGAAATACCAAAATAAATAGAGCTATAGTATATGATGGCATAGATCCATCTAAACCCACTTTTTCCATGTGGTACACAAACGATGCTGGTGTCTTTCTCTTTTACCAGGTTTCGGTGTTTAGTCATGAACCTCTCACCTGTCTGTGCTACTGCAGATCTCTTTCGTACAGGCCTCTGCCGTCTTCTGCACCACCTGAGCTCTGGCCAGGTACAGAGGGATCCACATACCAAACGCACCTGTGGCAAATGACACCGCCGCGGAAGCCAGGGAGGAGAACACGTAGCTTCGGCTAGCCACAAAGAGACACACACAAAATAATGCAGGTAATTATCTTGGCTTACAAAAGGGGGAGGTGAATAAACAAGCTACTGTTTTCTGTCACACATTCTCGAACATCTCACTCTGGCAGTCTCTCTCATCTGATAACAAGCGTACACAGATAATAAAGGAATACAACAGGAGTTTGGGAGATTGTCTGGTTTGACCACATTACCATTATCTCAAAGAAAATGAGAATGTAAAGCAGCTCTGGTGCTAAATGGTGGATAAACTGAAATGATACACAGTTAAGGCTGACAGTTTTATGTAGGAGACAAAAATAACACTCTATTTAACACTTTTCGTGTTTCCATAGGTGGTGAATGTGGGAGACTGTACAGCTGAAAGTCACATGGGATGGATATGTGGTTGCTCTCCTAAAATAGTTCCCATAAACCTGCATTGCTACATTATAGTAGCCATATAGAGTTTCTAACATTTTTTTAAGAAATGTAGCCCACAGGTCATATAATAACAAAGGGCCTACAGTGTCATAGATGCAAAGCTACCTTCACAGTTCAGCGGTATTGCAGAGTGGTGGTGAGTGACTAATACTGGTTCTGGTGTCTTGTGCTGACATTTCCATGCCTCTAATGGCTACTATAAAAAGATAAAATATATAATGCTTGTTGCCTATCATTCAACAAGTGTAAGCTCAATTGTTGGTTGTTGGTGATCTGCTGGGGAAAAATGGATGGCTTTGGGGCCTACACTTGTCACTTAACAGGTAAACAGGTCAATCTCCCAAAACGTGCATATTCTCTGTAGCCTGATGGGGGGGCCTTACTTCTTGGCCAGTGCCTTCATGTCACAGAGCCAGGAAGTGCGGGTCTTGATGCGTCCTCCCATCTGGTCAACGCTGCCTCTCTTTGGCTCAGGCACAAAGACCAGGATCAGAGTTCCTGCAGTGATCCCTAAAACTGGGGACACCTACAGGGACAAGGAAAGACCTATGAGACCTCAGACCATGTTAATACATCAAACTGACATGATAGAGTGGGTGTGGTTTTGGGGCGCAGACATGAGATTCAGGACAAAGAGCAGTGTGTTTACAATCTGAATGGACGGTCACTGTGTTTGCCGATACGCCTGACATCCTATACAAGCCCTCTGGAGCTGAGAACATTCCCTCTACTTACTCTATTGGGACTGTGTGTGTGTGTGTGGGCTTGTGTATAAGCATACAGGACTCTAAAAGAGCTTTTTGGCTTTGAGAGCTGCTTTGTGAGCTCTGCACTGAGGTGAAAACCTCATAAGTGCCCATCTGCTATTATGTTCACTATCATCTTTTATGGGTTTTTATGAGGTAGCATGTTTGTGCATGTGTGTGTCTTTGTGGGGGAGACAAAGACAAAAGGCGGGATGGGATGTGTGTGGGAGAATTTGTTCGACTAATACAAATTGCTCACAAAAGCAAAACCAATTTCATCTGTCAGGAGAAACTCATCATATTATATTTTGTAGCCCATTTATATGCATAAGCACTGTGGTATTGTACAAGGTGTGTATACACTGTGTGTGTGTGTGTGTGTGTGTGTGTGTGTGTGTGTGTGTGTGTGTGTGTGTGCGAGTGAGGGAATAATTCTGAGTCTTATGTGGCTCATAATGTGGCTGATAATGCGACTCAACACAGTGCTTATGGTCTCAAAGGTGTGAGGATTACACCAGCACTGATAATTTCCTTTCCTATATTGTGTCTTCTCCCATCTTCCTCTGCTTGTGTGGAGCAACTTAATTGGATCCACATCTACATCAGTCGTATAATGTGCTTTCAGCAAGAGGCAGCTTAATGGAGGATGCACAGCACAACTCAAAGGAAATAAATATTAGCTTTTTTGCGCAGGTTTTGCAGTCACCTCATAATTATTTTACGAGACACAAGGAATCTTTAACCTTAGACCTTGACTCCCACAGGGCCCATTAGACACTTCCTGTATGGAAGGGTGGCAATCAAACAAATTAGCTGATGCCCTCTCTTGCTCCTCATTTCTATGCATCACCCCTGTTCTTTCTTATCGTACACATTTTTTCTAAACAAGGAAGGTAGCTGGAACATGTCGGGCAAAAACAAACGGAAGCTCTGCAGTGTTTTTTCCTTAAGGCAGGATACTGCTGCACAGAACCCGTTTCATGTCTTGGTATTTGTTTTCCTCTGCATGCCACACCGGTGATTAATTGGCTTTGAGATTGTTTTATTGGAATGTCATTGTGGCTTCTGTGGAACAAACTGCCCCGCTCTTTGTGTTTTTTTTTTAATGCTCCACCAAGACTAGAAGAAATGGACGTCCTGTTTCCTTGAACCCAGTGAGCTGTCATGTCCAGGAATCTCTACGACCAGGACGTGCTGCAAGAATGTTTAATGTCTTCCTTTAAATGTCAGTTGGCTCATAAGAGGAGTCAGGTCATCATTTGTTTGGAGGATTTCAAAAGCTGACCCTGAAGTCGGCAGCTCCTGTTGAGTCCTGTTGGTCCTTTCATTGGTCCTCTCCATTACTACTGGTATGCCTTATAGAGCTGTTCACTTCCAAACGTTTTGTCTCAAGTACCCAGTAGAGTCCCACTAAAAAAAGTGCTATGACAACAGTGATTTATGCACCTGATTTAACACCCATGTCTGCTCGTAAGTACGCAGTTAGTGTGCTACTGCAAAAAGTCCAGTAAGGATTTTTTTTTCTTGGAGCAATACCCTATCAAGGCAGGCAGTTTCTACAGATACATTTCTCTTGAGAGTTGAAATGATCCTTTAATTAAAAGGGATCCCACTTAATGCTCTTGAAGCACCTTTGGGGCATTTTTGGAGCCAGGGCGTAGTAACAAATGTGTCTCCGTGCCAGGTCAAACTAAAACCCCGATCCCCTCTCTATCACTGCCCTGCACAGAGGCTTAGTGCCTTCTTTGGTACATGTTTTCATTTCGTACAGGTGCTATTTCTCTGAACAGCATCTTTATCTCAAAATGCTTATCAGGGTTTTGGCTTCATTATTTCCCTTCCATGTACTTTCTATTGTTGTTTGTTTAAAAAAGACAATCCACAACGTACCCAGCAACAAGCATGCAGCTAACAATGAAACCTTACGCTATGTTTCATTACGTTTCTGCACTGAAAAAGACACTACACACAGGCTGATGAAGGACTGACACTGTTATTTCACTGAGACCGACGTTGATCCTGCTTCACCAGAGACGACCTCGGTGGGTAAAGTGTAATGAAAGATAAAATGTGTTTACAGTGACTGAGGAAGAAAAGGCTAGCATCAGCCTTGATCCTTAATAGAAATCCACTCTCCTTGCTACAACCATCAGATCAGAACTTTAAACACGTATGATGTTGAGCAAGTTTGATGTTAAAAGTTTTAGAAACATTTTTACAAAGGGTTCTGTAGGTGGCTGGAGGCAGAGCTGCTGCTGCTGCTGCTGACGTGGATGTATGTGAGAGCTGTCCAGCCTTTAGCTCTCTCTGCTCTGTCACTTCCCTACAATGTCATGGACCGGGCCGCCTGTTCTGCCATGTGTGTCCCCCCGGTGCTTCTGTCACCACTGACCCCTCTGACCCCAGATCCATGACAGGCCTCCCCACTGAGCCCTGCAGGAGAGGCTCTTTGGCTGTCTTTGTGTGCATGTTTGTGTGCCCTTACCCTCAGTGCCCAGTGCCAGTCTCCTGCAGCCACCTTGGCGCTGGAGCCCAGGATGTAACCCAACCCGCTGCAAGAGACAGAAAAACTGTGTGTTAGCAATGCAAAACATCATATACATTACTGTCAACCTGCTCCAATATTAAGTATATGAGTCAGTGTCCGGAGTTAGCTGAGTCTGTCATTTCCATCAGTTAAGCTTAAACCTACACTACACACATCCTGTTTGTAGCGTGATTAAAGCTGCATTGACATTTAGGTACTTGGCATGGTTACTGATCAAAGCATTGGTAGCAACTTGGCTAGTTGGCCTATTTGTGGACGTAGGATTTGTGCATGTGGTCATAAAATGCAGGTGCAAAGTTAAACGCCCATGAGCCAACAGTGTTGGCAAACGCTGTGTTGTCACAGTGTAATCGGATTTCACCGATTTCACTTGAGTTTAAGGGTGTTTTGTGTGTCATAAAGGGAAATAACAGTGAAATGCTCTGAGGACAATGTTGCTAGATCAGATCAGATCAGATCAGATAACATGGCCCCTATGCTTACAATAAGCCTCTGCTGCCAGATAAAATCAGCATTTAAAGGACAAAGAGGATTCAAATAGTAAAGACATGATCGGCAGCAGACTGGAGCTAAGTATGTGAGCATTATCTTCAACACAGTTAATTATTTTAAGGGTTTTGAACTGTTGGACGTAAAAAACAAAGATTTTCTTTTTACAAATTTTGCCATTTTATAGAGATAAGGCTTAGTTGATTAATGTAGAAAATATTTATCCTGGAAAGCTCCCAGCAAGGACAAAATTCTCAAAAATGGACTCACTGACTGATTTGATGAGTTTAAAAAACGATGTGAATTATTACTATGGCCTTCACAGTCACCAAATCTCAATCTAACTGAACACCTACAGTAGTAGTATTGAGATAGATAATTGAGCGATGACAGATTTTGAGTGACTGCACCATCATCAAAACACCAAAAGAGGGGATATCTTATCTTATCTATAAATGATTTTCATCCCTCCAGTACCAGTTCCAGAGACTTGGGGAATCAATGCTAAATAAGATTGAGGATGATCTTGGTGGCCCAATACCTTACTAATACATTTTATGTTGTTTTTCCCTTTAATTTGTCACCCATCTCAAGCTTATTCCTAGTTTTTTCAAGCGTCTTCACTAGAATTAGTCAGTAAAAGTCAATCAGACTTCCTGATTTGAGTCATTTGAACCTGTTTGTCTGCATGTAGAAAGCCTCTGGCCAAGAGATACAGCTTTTCATTAGAATAGCAGATTGGAACAATGCATCGATAATGATCTAATGTAGCCCCATGACTTTACAGTGGATCCTTATCTTCATTGGCTGCTAAAGGGCCAAAACATGTTTAACTGGTTTGACACACACATCGCAACACCTACACACTCACAGCATAGGGGAAACAGTCTACGGTTGTGCTTCCATGATTAGTTGTCCAAAAATAACACCACAGTATAAACAGGCTCAGACAGCATATGATATTTCCAGCGAGTGACTAACAGCTAATCTTATCAGAGTCCACCCAGAGAGTGTTTGGAAAGTTCAACACCAACAATAAAACTCGAGCATGAAAAATATGCTCACATCAAATGCCGGCGTCGCACAGACCCCACTCTGCAGGGACAAGTTTACAAATTACGGGGAAAAAAGGGAGAGCAGGGGAATCCATTTCCTGTAAATCCGAACAAATTCCTGAGGTCATTTCCTGGAAACGGTCATAACAATCTCAGTAAAGGCAAACGAGTGTGAGAGTGGATGGGATGTTTGACTGCACTTTACTGAGGCCCACTGTTTTACCTTCTATTTTCTGTGTCGCTGGGCAGTTTACTGTGACCCGAACATTTTGGCAGCTCATAACACAACTCAGAATCTTTCCTTTCTCATGTGTCCAACTGCTTCCAATCAGCCACTAGAAACTCATATGATTAGTACACTAAATGACTGACATAACTTACTGTGGTTTGCTCTTCAACAACAACAACAAATTTTAGCAACAAGTATACATACACGTAGTGTAATGTTGGAGAGACTGCAGCACATGTCCCTTTACTTAGTATTTTAGTGTATGATCCTGCATGAGAAGCTGGAAAGCAGCGCAGCATGCGGCAGCTCAGGCACATGCAGTATATAACGCTAAAGCTCAAGTGGCTCCTGTGCAGCATCCACTGGCACATTCATCTTTTATTACTTGGCTTTGTTTGTTTTCTTCCTATGGCCCTTTTTCGGATTGAATGAACTGAAAAGGCTGGAGATTTGAGCTTAATAATACCTCCTACCCCAACACCCCCACGCCACATCTCCAACAAGCCTTCACCCTCCTTTAAGCTCCACACAGCCAATTGTAAGTTCTGTTTTTCTTTCTGCAGAGAGCCTGAGCTCTTTGTGTGGCTGCTTCTGAAAAAAAAAAAAGACTCAGATAGGAGCAAGCCTGACCTTCTCTATGTGAGGATAATTTCAATTACCTATGCTAATTGTTCTGATTCCTTTGCACCTTTGGATTTAACAATTGATTGAACAACTGAACAGACTTAACACCATCAGCGAGCTGTGCCATCACAAATGTCTGAAATAGATCATATATCTTCATAGCTTCAAGAGGATCTGTCTGGCTCTTACCTTCCCAGGGGGATGGCCAGGTAGAAGACAGAGAGCATCATGGTGCGGCTGTTACTAGTGAACAGGTCTCCTATGATGGTGGGAGAGATGGAGGAGTAGCTGGACTCTCCGATACCCACCAGTCCCCTGGAGAGCACAAACAGCCAGTAGTACTGCAGAGAGAGGAGAAAGAAAGAAAAGATATGAAGTTTTCGTTATCAAGCTCCATGGGAAACTTTCTGTCAGAGCACAGTGTCAACCCAACAGCCATTTTTCAATTCTTCAAGTCTTTTTCCTCACTAACTTTTCATTAGAGCAGAAAACAGTCAACCTCTACTTGTAGCACTAACAGTAGTGGCATAACAATCAGACTTACAATGCACATACTGTGCATGATACAATTAGCTTTCAACCCCTAAAGTTTACTGTTTAAGCACTGATTCACCCCTTAAGGGTTCTAATGCTGGTTGAAAAGTCACATGTATTTTCTGATACATTTATCTACCAGGTACTGTACGTCAGCATTAACACACGTCACACACATCATCACAAGTAGGATGAATTGAGATGAATTTCACAAGCTCAGTCCCATGTTATTGTTGCATCTCTGCTCAACACATATACAGGCTATCACATCGATTGAAATGTTGAGATGATACACATGGTCCAAAAAGTTGGAGGAAGTTATCTTGATCAACCAGGTAAATTCCACTTAATGAAATTGTGACATCACGTCAGTGTTTGAATGTGTTTGATCCTATTTAGCTATATTAAATTACAGTGGCATATTATCCTCCATCAGATGAAATAAACTGATAAATAAAACGATGAATACTTAAAAGCCTTTAATAGGAGCATGCACACTGGCGGGGGCACCTGTGTAGGCAGCTGGACTGTTAACTGTTTCCATGGCAACTACTACTCACGAGATACAGACTTCCATGTCCGCTGGTGAAGCTGCAAAGAAATTGGGTTCCCCCACACACTGGAATGACGCAAACTGCAAATATTGCACTAATTAGTTGCATGTAGAACATGCGTAATTAGTTAATGTGTCAATGAAGGTACATTGTTTGATGGTGATACTGTATAAGTATTCCTAATTAGCTTCTCTTACGTGCACTTCTTTACAATATGCACCATATTTTTCCCACCATTTTTTTCCACCTAAAAAAATATGCATTGTTGGTCCTGATAATGTGAGACTGTGGTGTGTGTGAGGTCACCCTCTTTAGGGTTTGTCAGCAGTGAAACGAGAATAATGAAGGTGCTGTTGGAAGCAGAGGCAGAGCTAAGACAGTGATCCCTGCGCTGACCTGAGCTCTCAGATGTCACTCCAGGCTTCACGCTGGTGGATGGGACATCAAGTCATGAGGTCATACACACAGCCATCAAACATCCCCTGGAGACTACACCACACACGCACATACACACCTCATTGTAAGAGGACACTTAAAGAATGCATAAAAAAAAACTGTCCCTGCTGTGGTATTCACGTATATTATTTTCAATTCTGTGCGTAAAGAAGATAAAATCTGTCCTTACAGTTAACATTTGACGGCTCAACATCATTGCTCAACTTGTGTCATCCTTATTTCAGTGATTACATGGACCCAATAACCAAAACAACATTCTCAGTTTGCATGAGGATGGTGGAGACATAAGCGGTGAGAGAGGCAACAGCTACTACATTCAGTCATTATTTCAAATCAATAAAAATAATATTTTTCTATCACTAATGGCTTTATAGACAAACATGTCCCACTATCTTTAGGCTAACAGGAAGAGAAGAGATGTACCTATACCACCATTATGTCAGAGACACAATCTGTATGTATGTTTTCTACTGGTGGTAGATTAAAAATATTACAGATAGAAAGATGACAATCATCAAAAAAATATATAAATTGTCCTAAAAGGAATAAAGGATCATCAATCCATTATTAGAACAATAGTAGTTCGATGGTCATTATCCTTGTCTTCCCCTCTTTATATTCATGAGATGAAAGTGAATGAAATGAGTCATGATTTCCATTGGATGAAATTATAAATAGACTCACTACTGTGTCTCAAATTTCAAATGACCTACAGGTGATAATTTTATGATGATAATCTGTTGTGGTCATGCAGAAAAAAGTATGTAATTTCACTTTATGGCAGCGGCAAGTTTCTGTTACATAAGATCTGTATTCAGTATCTGCTGCAAATCCTTCTAAAATTCCCCAGAGCGTCTTACATCCATAATGATAGAACTCAGTTGTAAGTGGTCATTAACATTTCATCACACGTCATGTCTTTCATCTCTCTTGGCGACAAGCACCGTGGAGCTATTACATAAGAGACATCTACTCTTGTCTCATTTGATTGGCACACTCAGGAACATGTCTTAAGGGTGAAGTTAAAGTTCGAGGCAAAGGACTTCGGGTGCTGAGGACCACTCCTCATTTCCTCATCAGCAAGCGGCGGCCTTTGTGGCATTTGTCAGAGGGGAAGAGGCCTTTAATTTCAGTTTAGCAATAAGCAGCCTGAATGTATTTCCAACTTAGGCAAATGATTGCCATCTTGTCTCCTCACAGACAAGTCTATAGGGGATAGAAGTCAAAGGACGCCCTCCTGAGACTGTCAGCATCTCTGAGCTGTCATTGCCTTCCACAGCTCTGGGCTGAAGGCAGTGAATGGGCTTACTCACTGGAGAGACAACACTGCGGGACTCCGTGATGCTGCTCTGCAGACATGCCGCATAAATTTAACTAACGCAGCTTTTAATGCCTTAATGCTTAATTTTTTGTTCCCTGCCAGTTGAGTGACTTCAGATTGTCAGTCTGTTTGATTTTTATTACAGGACTGTATTACAGGGTCTGTCCACACACGTATACATGCACATGCACAGAGGCTTTTACTGTAATGTGATGGCTACTCTCAGCGAGATACCCTTCCCCCAAGAATAATGTTATTATCTGATGCATCCAACACCGCCTAGCACACAGGGGCTTTTGGAGATATCAAATCTTAATCCACTTGTCAAGGGGCAGTGAAACGACAGAGTGTTATCTTCTAAAGCATTGTAATTGAGACAGGTCTGAGGCATGGGCCTTCATTAGTTGATTGGCTGGTAGCCAGTGAAGAGAGAGAGAGAGAGAGAGAGAGAGAGAGAGAGAGAGAGAGAGAGAGGGAGACATAAAGAATGTCTACAAAGGCAAAGCGGGTGTCTGACTTAACGAGCATATCATTTAATTTCACTACCCTTAACATCAAGCATATCCAGACCATAACGGAATAATTAGCTCATCGTTGTAGACTGTATCACAGGGACGGCAGCCTAATAGAATAACACTGGAGCTCTTGTGCTGTGATTGTTCTACAGCTTCCGTCAGAGAGTATGTGATGCCGTACCTCTTTGCTGATGAAGGAGCTTGACAGAGTAACAATGGACCAGAAGAAAATGCCACAGCTCAGGATGACCTTTCTGTTGAAGCGGTCGCCCAGGTAACCGAAGATGGGAGCTGCCACCATGAAGCTGCAGATGAAGACTGCAGAAGGAAAAAAGGAAAGAGAAAAATGTTACTGATGATGTAGACATGTCTGTTTCAGTCTTGGCATTGCATGGATTTATTCTCATGGATTCATCTATTCACAGTATCAAGTGTTACTACATTGCAGTAAAAAATCCACGAGTTCCAACTAACTAAGGCAAGTATTTCAGCTTCCAGGTCCACTTATTAAGCCAAGACCTGTCCAGATTGACTGGGTGATAGCAGTCAGCCAGAGACACAGTGAAGGACTGCCAGAGGACACCCCCTTTCAACTCCAACCAATTAGGATTCTATTACCTCACCTACACTCACTACAAGAAACATGGCGAAAGAATATTAAATACAGATGATACAGCGCTAGAAAATGTCACTGTGAAAGGTGATTTGGGTTGTAAAGACTTCAATTTGTAAAAAGAAAGGAGGAGGAGAAGCCAGGAGTTGTACAAAAGTAGTGCCCTACAGTAGGAAGGATTGTAGGAATACTAGTTTGGAATACGGCCAAATATAGTAGCTCTTAAAGAGACAGAGGGAGAAAAAGAGGGCAAGACAGATCCAGGATTGTATTTTGTCAGTTTGCTGGGATCAAACAAATTAAAAAGGTGGCAGAGGGGAAAGAAAATGTGTCAGGGTTTTATGTATCATTACTGGAATTACAATAAAACTGACCAGATGGAAGGCGATTAATAGCAATATATCACCGGCACGGATTCTTTCTCACCTTCTTCCAGGGAGAGGACCATGGTGGCTGTGTGGCCATAAATAATTCCTCCATCTTAATTCCTTACAACCAGACCTATGTCCCAGTGAAAGGAACACCAGTGCTTTAAAATGTTTTCCCCTCATTACCCCACTGCTGACTGGACAACCAGGCCGTTGTTCTCAGGGCTTTTAGTCAATATTTATGAGGAAGACCAACTCAAACAGACCTAAATTTTTAATGCTCTCAAACCGAGTTTTATGTCTTTGCAGAGGAGAAAGGGCAGAGATGTTACTCTTGACAGCAGCGAGGGGAGCTGGGGAGTGTTTTGACACATCATCAGCATAAACATACAGAAAGAGGAAGGGAGGAGAGGAGATGAGAGGGAGAGGAGAGGAGAGGAGGGGGGTGTTATATAAGACACAGGCATCACAGTCCCACAGCTGCTGAGGCCAACCAACAGGATAAGGGACAATAATCAGATTATAGCATAACTGTAGTTTTGAACATGTGATATTATGGTATGATAAAAACAAATAAAATAAAAAGATGTCCTTTTGTAGCCCTATTTTGGGAAAAGAGTTATGCAAAAAAGTGTAAAATCATCCTACATTACTCTGCTCTAACTTTATTTTATGTACACCATAACAGACCCTTCACCTTTGTTATATTTTTATATTTTCTTTTAGTTTACATTTGAAAAAAAACAACAACAACTAATAAAATATTAAAAAAGAAAAGAAAATAGACCCACATTGAAAGAAAAATGGAGCAACACCTACAAAAAACAGCAGCAACATGCACATAAAAAACACATCAAATAGTACACGGTTCTTGGAGACCTTCAGATTAAGAGCACTTCTGTGAGTATACTTATTTTTTTTTATAAAACTTCAAACAACAGATATTCTGCACTGTACAATCACATTGCTCGAGGAAATGTATAGGGCCAGTGATTCCCACATTTTCTCCACGTTGTTCAATAAATCAATAAATTCTCAAACATGATGTCAACACCACTGGATCATTTTCTAACCTGGCAAATAAAAATGTGTTTTTTACAACCTTAGGCAAAAATAATTTATCATTTCTCAAAATAACCCTCACACAGTTATTGTTTAGTGGGGTAGGTAGCCTTGCTTTAGAAAAGATCCAAAGATCTTTGGGAAATTATTAAGTCTTAAAATGTAAATTAATATTACAATGATATATTAATAAATAAATAAAAAATTAACTTAATTTTTGATATTTTATACAAACAGACATTCTGGTAAAATACAGCTATCCTCAAGTGACCCCACTGTGCCATTTTGAGAAAAAGAATCCCATTTCAGAAAGTGAAAGGTAATCTAAAATCTAATTTAAATCTAATTTGAATTATTATTAATGAATGAATCAGTTACAGTTTGGTTTCACAGGGGCTGGGATTACTTGATCTGCTCATTAAAGATAATGAGTCTCTCACACCTCATCTCTACAGTATGTTTCCCCTCTCTACCTCTCAGCCTCACTACTCTCCTGTTCTGTGTCTCGCTCTTGTTGCCTGCATTTCCTTCCTTCTCCCTCTTTCTGCAGCCTCCATCATGAGCGTTTATGTGGCTAAGTGCTGCAGGTCTATTGTGTAATGCTAAATGACTCTGATGACTGCTTAGTGCAGGTCTAGCTCTCTAAAGAGCTTTATCAGCTCACCCTACAGCCACAGCACTGCTGAAGAAACCATGCACACACACACTACACACACAGAACAGGGTGTTGTGCACATTGGAGATAAGATGAGGGAGAGGTCCACAACCACCCACCACCAGCTGGTTCCACGTGGGCTTTAAAAGCCAGGGGCCCAGGGATCATTACTCGGCATGTCAAAAATACATATCCTCACATCATTAACTGGCCTGTTGTAAGTCATTAGCAGCAGGACCACACATCACCAGCTCTGTGTCTTATTTCATGTAATTTTGTGATTTTTTTGATAAGCCACACCATTTTCTTGAGGCCCATTATCACCTTTTAGCAGTGTCAGCACATGGGAATTAAGTCAGGTCTTGCAACTTTGCTGCTTATTAACCCAGCTGCTTTCTGAGCAAACGAAAGGAGCCTTGTGTTCATATATATTTAATATCCTGCATGTTGGCTCTGAGTTTAGCTATAGCGTAAGCATAGGAGACACTGGAGAGAGAGACAAAGGTGTGTGTGAAGTCACAAATTTGACACAAATTACTTGTGACTTCACTTGGACTTGAGCCTTTTGACTTTAAAATGTTTGATACTTCCCCCAAGCCCAAAGAAGTACATTATTTAAAAAGTGAGCCACCAATTGTTTTATTACCCTTTAAAACAACTAATATTAATGCTACTCATTCCCAGTTAATTCCCCAGATCCACTTTGTTTGAACCATCAGCATCCAATCAAGTTGCAGGAGAGAGAACCATGAACTGCCATTTGGAAAAAAACCCAAGATAATTTCTCAACTTCTTGGTGTAGGACTTGGCAAAAACAAAACAACTGTCTATAATATACATTTTTAGTTTTAGTGACAACACACAGAAGTGCATTTTGATCCAACATTCACGTCAACTAAGCGACCCAATGGTATGTGTGCGTCAGATAAACATTTTCTCAAGAAGCTGCTTTGAAGTGACAGAAAAATGACGAACTACCGTCACACTTGAGTTACAAACAGATGCTTTGTTCACCTGACAAGAGACATAAGGGAATGTTGTCAGGTTGTTTATTTTAAGCAAAAACAAGTACGCCCTTTTACAGAATCAGGGCGCATTAGTTTTAATATTACTGAATTTTCTCCCATCAAATTCTTTCTAATCAGAGTCGGCACTGACAACCCTGCTGCGCTCAAAAGATTTGGATCAGGAGAGGTTGTAGTTCTCTTCGACCTAAATTATAGATCTACAAGAATATTAAATATTTGAAACAGGCCTTTGTTTGAATTTACAAACAGACATCATATCTCCTGCATTGTAGAAAATGCCTGACTACATACACTGACAAAACATACTGTAAGGCTTACATAATATATAGTATAATATGGATTCACAGAGGAGACACCTGGTTCTTTTCAATCTATGAAAATCAACAGGAATCTTTCATGGTTTCATTTTGATGTAATTCATCCAATGTTGACGTACAGTTGGACTAATCTCCATTATATAAGACACTCCCTGTCACTGGGACCGGATGCACACTGATACTGCATGTAACCTTTATGGAGGCTCATCTGCTCCCAGGAAATGCTCTGTCACTACAAAGACTGTCTCTAAAATGATCCCACTGTTCTCCTTTCAGTCTCCTTCGAAGGCTGTAAACCTACGAGGGCCCAAATAAAGAAATCTGTCATTCTTGGAAACAACGATTTCCTCCTCCAAGTGCAGCTCATTTTGAGGGATCTGGTATGTTTCCTTAAAAAATAAAATAATGCTCAAACACTCAAAGACTACATCACAAGTTAATTATGGTATTTATTTAAAAGTTAAAAGACATCATCAGGTTTGAAAAGGCTTCATGTTCTTACTGAATGTTATGCATGCAGTATAATGGGCAGCGCAGACCTGGTGTAAGATATGTTTGGCTTCATTAGCGAGAGTGACAAGAAAATAAATGTGTTCAGTCTATTTTAAGGCCTCACAGGAAAGACAAACAAAGCATGACTAACAATAAGTCTTCACAGATGCCAGGTCATGCCCAAAACTCTCAGTGCAGGCAGTGAGAATTGATAGGTAAAGCTTAATTATTCATAACTCAATTTGCAGAGGATGTGTCTAATTTTGCGGTCTGAAACACCTTGAATGGCCCTGTTGAACAGAAAGTTGGCTTGTTTTCAAATCAATGGACGGGTTTAAGTGACAAAACAACTCTTAAATATGAAACATTCATCGAATGTTGCCTGTCCTCACAAGTCACATTCCTACGGTGACCACTATTGTCTCTTTGTTTATACTTGTTTATGCAGTGGAACACCATGAGACCAATTGTTTGTATGATCTCAACTGTGCCATCAGAGATAACCCCTGGCTAATCACCAAAGATGGCAATCTCTCATAAATAAAGTGCATATGTAACAAATATTCAACAGGAAAAGCCAACAGCGACTTGGTGTGTGGAGCAGAAGCACTCTGTGGATGTTTACACTGCAGGCCAAAGGGGAGGAAAAGTTTTCATAACCTCATTTATAGAACAATGGTCAGCTTTGACTACTCTTTCAGACAGTGACTGACTCAAGCTGCATTTTCAGTGTAGTAGAGGCAGAAATTCCTTTTACCATGAAGCACCAATTGATGCCTCTAA